AGGGTTGTGGACATGGACCTATTGGGAGAAAGCGCGGGCACCCAGAAATGCAAATAGGGGCCACACGTACAGCGATGCGGGCGAGTGCTCGAGAAAACGCGTTGAAACTCAATTCCTCTTCTTTGGGGTATAATACCAGCATTCGCACATCGGCAGTGGCCATCAACCTCAACTCCCCATACTTGCCTACAATAATCATCCAATATTGAACTCGCTCGAAGCGTTCATGACCATCATCATCTTCTCCTTCATTCTCCGTGCAGCGTCATCATCCACCACACCCACCTCATCGTCATCGTCCTTACCCATCCCGCCAGCTTTGCCCCCCTTTTGGCCACCCTTGCTCGCACTATTAGTGGCTGCAGCAGGCTTGTGCACCCGTCTTGAAACACCCCCTCCAATTCCCCCCGGCGCCTCACGCAGTCCAAAGGCTTTTGCCATGTGTCCCAGATGCAGTTGGGTGATGTCAAAGTAGACCCGCTCCTCGCGCACATGTGTCGCATATGCGCGTATATGGGAGCGGAATGCTTGCCTGGCGGAATCAAGAAGGGGGTTGTCCTTTGGTTTTGTAGCCTTTGACGGCCAGCTGCCGCTTTTGCCCTTCGGCTTGGATTTCCGCGGCGTCTCCTCCGCGCCGTCCTCTTGCGCGCTAGATTGAAGCGGGGCGAGCAGCCGCTGTTCAAAGTGCAATTGCAGCGCCTCGGCGCGTGACGTCCAGGTTTGCTTTTGCGTGGATTCAGGTGTGGTGTGTCCCGAGGGGAGGTTGACCGTTGTGATGAGGCCTTTTTGCAATACGGATTCGTAGAGTTGCGGCGTGATTGGGGTCGACGCTGGGAGGATTGCAGTGTAACCTTCTTCGCAGCCAGGGAGAAGAAAGAGGACTGCTTTACCAGAGCGACCGGCGCGGGCTGTCCGACCGATGCGGTGCACATGGTCGGGGACCGCAAACGCTGGGTCGTACTCTATCACGAGATCGACAGCGGGAACATCAAGGCCGCGGGAGGCGATGTCTGTAGTAATGAGGACTGCTGGGTCTTTGCACTTAGCGAAGGCGTTTAAGGTGGAGGAGCGCACCGGTTGTGCCAGGGAGCCGTGGAGCTTGTGGAGAATGACCCTTGGGTTTGCTGGCGAGGTTACGTAGGCGGCTGGAGCTACAGTCGATGCTGTATGGTTGCTGGCACCTGCCTTGGTAGGCGATGACTCGGGGGTGGGTAGTTCGAGGACCTCGGTGTCCCTGAGTAGTTCGTAGTGAAAGTCGACGGAATCGGCGCACGAAATGAAGATGATGGCCTTCATTACCGAGCCCCGTCTCGCAAAAGTTGACTTCAGTAGAGCTACTAGCGTAACCAAGCGTAACTTGGCCGGCACAATGATGCAAGACTGTTTCAGCTGCGAGGGAGCGGTGAACGCGGCCTGATTGCCCGCGGCGGCGTCTTTCTCCATCTCGGACTTGGACGCTGTTATGTGGACGGCATCCTCCAAGCTAATCTCGCCCAACCTCTGCACGTTCATCTTCATGGTTGCTGAGCATAGAACAGTGACCCTGCGGGAGGGGAGGATGCCATCCAGTACAACGCCCTCAGAATTTCGTTTCTGTAGTTTGTCCGCCCTGATCTTCCCGACTATTGTCCGAATATCCTCCTCGAAACCCATCTCCATCATCCGATCGCCCTCGTCTAGCACCAGCCATCGGACCGTGCCGACGTCGAGTACTTTCGTGTGGTCCAGGTGATCTGTCAATCGACCAGGGGTCGCGATCAGGATGTTGACTCCTTTACGTATCCGGGCCTTTTCTGACTTCTTGCTCTCGCCTCCGATGACGGTGGTGCAGACGAGCCATGGCGCGCAACGCAGCACCTTCTCCAAGACAACAGCAATCTGCTTGCACAGCTCACGGGTGGGGGCTAGAATGATTGCAAAGAGGCCAGAGTTCCGGTGCACCTTGGTTTCCTTGGCAGTTCCGTCCTCATTCAGGCTCAGAGCCATTATACGGTGAACAATTGGTAACAGATAAGCGAGTGTTTTCCCCGAGCCAGTTTCGGCCTGCAGAAATGCATCACTGTCCTCTTTTATCAACTGTGGGATTGTGTTCTTCTGTATCGCTGTCGGCGCCTTCATCTCGAGCTTTGTTGTCAGATGCTGGGCAACCCGACGAGATAGACCCAGACTGTGGAAATTTTCAGCCTCTTCGGACAGCGGTGCATTTGATGGCTTTGCGGGCTCGGTTTCCTCGGCCGGTTGTTCGTTGAAGGCCGTGACAGGCGCAGGGTTCGACGTAAAGAGGCTCGACGTGATCTGTCCCGTCTTCATGGCATGGCTGGGTGTCCAAGAGCTTCCATCACCCGTCTTTGGCACCTTTGCATGTCTAGCTGACTCGCCGTCCTCTACCCTCTGCCTTTTCGTTGGTCTAGTCGAGTCGTCGTCGCCGGTTGGTGGGCGTCTTGACGGGGCTGATGAAGTGCCATTTTGCTGCGCATGTTTTGCACTCCTCTGCGCCTTGAGCCGATCTCTCCAGCGGCCGCCTTTAAACTTGACTTGTTTATTCAATGGCCCGTCACCAAGTTCGAAATTGAGGAGCATGCCATCGTCGGCCATGGTTGTTTTGGTGGTGATCGGGCACGTGCTGTGGGTTGACGTTGTGACCGGCAGAAAAAAGTTGAGGAGCAAGGCAAGTCCCCCTCACAATGTCCTGTAGAAACTCGGTGGGGCTCACGGGCTTGGCGGCAGCAGGCCGCCTCACCGCCTGCCAGATCAAGACAGCGTCGGTAAGTACATTTTTACTTGTACTCCGTACCTGCAGACAATTGAGGGGTCTTCATCTCTTTTCGTCCCATCTCCTTGCAACCATGAAGCATGAACGTGAATGGATCGCAGGAGCCGATGGGCATGGCCACATCTATCTACAGGTGGCCAAGATAGCAGCTGAGGGCTGCAACGGCTGCTTTTCTTTTTTTGAGAACATGCTGCTCCAGTTCGTCCCGTCATCGCACAGGTCGCTGCAGTTGTCCCAAGATCAGGCCACCGGAGGTAAGGGTCCCTCCTTTCAATGCATGCAGTGTACCTTAGCTCTCTGGGTGCTGTACACTGCCTGACTGCATGCAAGGGTCAAAGACCTGAGCCGGGACACACCACGTGTGGATTGTTGATCGTCGTCGACCGATCGCCCATCCCTCCACTAACGTTAGTGCGTACGTCAGGTTGTACGAGACCTGACATTCTTAGGTGTAGGACGTCGGTGCCCGGTGCTTAGACGCTCCGAAGCTGCACAAAAAGTCAACCAGCCTTGGGCTGTGCCTCTTCGGTGCTCGTAGAGATGGGTTTGCCGGTTCGGGGCTCCTCGGAACCGACTCGGTTTATAAAAGTGACAGAATGACCCTGCGGCATGTCGCTGTCAGTCTTGGACTTCCCCAACGGCTGACTCCGATCACCCAATACAAGCGACGCGCTTTGATACACTGGGCCTGAGGTTTGAGCTTCGGACCTCCACCGTTAGCTGCAAGCCACGGTCCCATACAAAACCACTTATATAGCAGGGAGGCCGGCGGCCAATTCGTGCCTCCAGCATGTTTCGAGTCAGCGCATTCCGGTCTCCTCCGCGGATACGGCCCACACTCCAGGCGAACACAATGAGCGTCCAAGTCGCTGTTGCAGCCGCTGTTGCTGGCATTGGCGTATATGCCCTGTACCTGCGCAGGAACAATTCCGCACAAGACGGAAAACCCATCTTCAGCAGCTTCGGCTTTCACAGCCTGCCCCTCCACAGCACCGAGCTCATCAACCACAACACCAAGCGGTTACGCTTCGAGCTCCCGGACAAGAGTCAAGCGAGCGGGCTATCCCTTACCTCAGCGCTCCTAACCGTTTCTTTCCCCAATGGCGGCTGGATCCCCGTGCTCCGGCCTTACACTCCTGTAAACGACTTGGGTATGTTTGCGATTTGCGACGCAACCAATCAGGTTTAGGCTCGCATTTTTGGCTGACCGCAAACATCAGATGAACCCGGCTTTGTCGAGCTCTTAGTAAAGCACTACCCGGGTGGCAAACAGAGCACTCACCTCCACTCTATGAAACCCGGCGACCGCCTCACATTTGCGCCCATCAAGGAGTTCGCCTGGACGCCCAACAAGCACGCCCACATGGGCCTCATCGCTGGCGGCGCGGGGATCACGCCTATGTACCAGCTCGCCCGCGGTATCCTCCGAAACCCGGACGACCAGACGCGCGTCACCCTCGTGTGGGGGGTCAATACCGATGCCGACATCTTCCTGAAGGATGAGTTTGCCGCCCTGGAGAAGGCATATCCCGGCCGGTTCAAGGCCGTTTATGTTGTAGCCACGCCTGATCCTGGATCGCCGCACCAGAAAGGCTTTGTGACGAAGCAAATCCTGGAGAAGGCCGGGCTGAACCCAAGGGACGAGAAGAATAAAGATATTAAGATCCTGGTGTGCGGGCCGCCGCCCATGGAGAAGGCGCTGAAGGGTGCGAAAGGGTGGATGGGAGGTGCCAGCAAGGGCGTGTTGGCCGAACTCGGGTACCGGCAGGATCAGATTCACAGCTTCTAATGGAAAAACTGGCTGTGTTATATGGGTTCGGAGAGGTTGGCCGGCTGGGGCGTTTGGTGGCGTGTTTATACCTGTAAACGGAACTCAAATACGGCAGGGACGACTCAATTCCCATCCATTATCTGTGCTGCATGTTCAATGCTCATGGCACAACCCGTCAGCTGACCTGCTTTTTGTGTTACTTGGGCTGTAGGCCTCATTTGAAGTTCGCGCAGGTTACGTGCACTGGCAAGCGAAGATTTCCATCGCGTCTTCCATCTGATTTAGATCGGTTCCTTATTTCAGACCCAACATCTTTTCATTGAAGTCAACCACAATCCCGTGCCAAACCCATCCAATTCTCTTCCACTCGAATTTCTTACAGGGACGGCCAGAAACAGACTATTGACCGATTACACCGACGAGTTTTTGACAAGTACCTTACATCCCGAGACACTGGACAACAGAATCTCATCCACCGCGGCCGATATTCACTCTTGACGATTCTGAGTTGGCGTGTACTGGACCTACCAATCCAATCCATAATCGCCATCTCGACCGATACAAGACATTTTTCATATCCGCACTTGGGGTGAGTGAATGCCCAGCTTGACGGCCTAATCTCCTCCGGACACGACAACAGTGTGTTACTAACAGATGATCAACCAAGTGACAAGCTGACTACCAGTGCTAAAGTCGCTGCCATGCCCCTCAAGTTGCTCCGTCCAAGGCCTACCCTCTTCAGAGTCTCCCTAGCGCCCTGCAGAACCATCACAACCTCGCGGCCTCTGTCAGAAGAAGGCCCAGTGTCCAAGAACAAAACGATCCTCGAGGTCGAGCGCAAATTCCCGCGCCTCGCAGTCCCGTCTCTCACCCAACACCACCAGCAGAACCCCAAGTTCTCCTCGATCCAGCCGCTCCCCACGCGCCAGATCCACGACATTTACTACGACACCCCAACACGGCAGCTCTGCTCGCACGGCGCCTGGATCCGCCTCCGCGACGGCAAGTGGGAGGCCAAGCTGCGCCGCGGGGGGGACTTTGTCAACTCGCGTTTTGAGGAGCTCACCGGAGAGGCCGAGATTGTGCGGAGCGTGCGAAGCATTTTGGGGAGTCAATATCAAAGTACTACTGGTGATAGCATTGGTGACCGTAAGGATCGGGGTGGTCGTGTGCCGAACCGAATGGAGGACTTTGGGCTGGAGAAAATGGCCGAGTTCGTCACCACCCGCGAAGCGTGGATGTGTGATGGCGAGTTCAAGGTTGTTCGGGACAGGATGGACTTTGGGCATGAGGTTGGGGAGGTGGAGTTGCAGGCCGAGATTGAGGTGGATGTTGATTCGGACAAGTTGTTGCTGTGGAGGCATGTGAAGGAGCGGGAGATGGAACGGATGGATTGCAGGGTAAAAGCCTTCATGGAAAGGTATGCGTGGGCTTTTGATTGGAGTGGCGGCGAGCCTAAGGGAAAGTTGACGGCTTATTTTGAAATGGTTAAGAAAAAGCGCAGGAAGGCCAGGGCAGGGTGCGAGGGGACGGAGTAAGCAAGGAGAAGCCCTTCCTCCTATGGAGCATGTACGAGAACACGGAAGAGACAGAGGCTCATGTTCCCGACCTCCAACCTTTCGATGACACCTCCTCATTCTTGACCATCCCTGATGGTTCTTACGCTTTGGAGCACTGAGAAAGTGCGGGCTCCACTGGGCTGTTGTGATGTTGATCGTTCTACACCTCGTAGTACGGACTGGATCGAGGGTGGCGTTACGACATGTCTTTAGTATCCCGTGTTCCCTCTATGGGCCTTGGTAATAACGAAGAGGTCATTGCTGGGATAGAGGACGCTCTGCCAGTATCGAAGTACTATGATAACTCAGACGGGGATATCTGTGGCAGTGATTGGAGGATAGGTACGGCTACTGGTAACAAACCCACGGCGGAGAATACACTTCGGCAGCACCCACTAGTACCGCCGGCGACGGTATCTTAGGATGAGCAACAGCTAAAGACAGGAAGATACTACCATCTTCCTAGGGCCATGACCCGATGAGCTGTGCTGCCAACTTTGCTTTCATTTGTCAGGCACCACCAAGATACAGCAGCTGTTGATGACCACCACTCATTATTTGGGATGCGACCCCAGATTCCAGTTGGTCAGGGTAACATCCAGCTACCGCAGCTATCTGTCCGTAGTAGGTAGTTACAACACGAGTCAATCACGGCTGGTACGTGTCCTCGGCCAGCAGCATCAGCCATTCCCGCCTGGTCTGAAGGAGCCTCAGCAGGTTTCCGTACGAAGTATCCGAATCTCTACTTGTATCCACCTCAAGGAGCTTGCCCCTGTCCCGACCGTAGTAGTCGAGAATTTCCGGGTTGAGATTGATGTACTCCTTGAACCTCTTTTCAAACATGTCGCTGGTATCGCCCGCTCGGCCCTCCTGTCTGCCAAGCACCCTGCCTTTGGCAAGATCCCGGGGACAGTTGAAGAACAAAACAAGGAGTGGCTCTCCAAACTAAATTAGTTGGTAAGCTCAAATAGTTAGCACTGCATGCCGTATGATTTCTGGCCACGGTCCGAATGACATTGTCATACCTCTCTCTCGAAACCCTCCACTTGACCAAGTTGGCGAGGGAATCCATCCAATATGACGACCTGGCCGGCGACACAGTCGCGAAGCTTCGCTTTGATGATGGGGAACAAATGCTCTCCGGGCACGAGCTCTCCACGCTCGACGTAGCCGCGGATCAAGTCGCTTGTTGCCGGGTCGGAAACCGTCTCGCGGAGGAGATCGCCAACGGAGATGTGGACGTAGCCAAAGGCTTCAGCCAGTCGCTTGGAGAGGGTCCCTTTGCCTGCGCCAGGAGCGCCTAATTTGATGTGAGCAGATGCGGGTGAGAGAGTGTACAAAGGGAGCCCACTTACCGACCACAAAGATGAAACGAGGCTTTCCGGGTTTGGTTTTCATTTTAGCGGTATCGCTAGCAGCCATGTCTTCGTTATGCCTTCCAGTTCTCGATAATCGGGTTGATGAAGAGAATGTACTAGTAGATGAAGGCAAGGCCCAATTAAATAGCCAGGCTTGTTTGACTTTGCAGCCCCCAGAGCTGCGGGTTTCCGTGACAGTTCCAAACGAGAAAGCCAAAGACCGAGAAGTTGCCCTATGGGAAGAGTTGTCGGCCCGTGTTTGTAGTTGTGAGTGGGGGAAGTGTGCGGAAGGAGTCAGAGGTATGACATCGTCGTCGTCGTTGGGCAAAGACGGGCAAACACCATGTAGGAAAGCGTCCTTTCATCGACAACAGATTGTGTCACGGAACCTTTGAGACCATTGAGGCCTACAGCCCCGCGAGCTTCTGCCAGTTCACAGCCCATAAGAACACTCCCTTCCACCCAGCCTTCTAACTTGAAGTGTTCCTATCTCCCATCTTTCTATCGCTCTTTACACACTTAACACATCCAGCGAGCAGTCAGCATGATTCAAGTTATCTTCAGTATCATCCTCGGCATCATCCTGATAAGCTACTATCTCACACCAGAACCCCGGCTGGACACAGAAGAACCTGAACCTCGTCATGACCGTGACGACCATGACGGCTCCAGACCAAGCCTTGGAAAAGTCCCCATCTCGGTAAATTACCACTTCACACGTCGATGCAACAAGACATGCGGCTTTTGCTTTCACACAGCGACCAGCTCGCACATCGAACCGCCTCATCGGCAGAAACAGGCGCTGCAGCTCCTAGCCAAAGCTGGCATGCGCAAAATCAACTTTGCTGGGGGCGAGCCCTTCTTGTATCCTAAGCCGCTCGGCGAAATGATCACCTTCTGCAAGCGCGTGCTCAAGCTCGAATCTGTGTCCATTGTGACCAACGGTAGCCTGGTCCGCGAGGCGTTTCTGCAGGAGCACGCTGACGAGCTGGACATTCTGGCTGTGAACTGCGACTCGTTCGACGAGCAGACCAACATCAGAATTGGCAGGGGCAGCGGCGACCAGGTCAAGAAGCTCTACGAGATTGCGGGCTGGTGCAGAAAGTACAGCATCAGCTTCAAGATCAATACGGTTGTCAACAACCTGAATTGGCAAGAGGACATGAACGAGCATATTGAAAGGCTTCGGCCGTTCAGGTGGAAATGTTTCCAGGTGCTGATTGTTCAGGGGGAGAATGACGACCTAGAAGGCGGCACTTTGAGGGACGGGCATAGCTTTACCATCACCGACGAGCAGTTCGACGCTTTTATCAAGAGGCATGAGGGACAGAAGTGTCTCGTGCCGGAGCCGAATCGGTTGATGGCAAAGAGCTATCTTATTCTTGACGAGTACCTGCGGTTTTTGGACCGAACCGGTAAGCAGCCATCCAAGTCGGTTCTGGAAGTCGGGGTAGAAGAGGCGCTGCAAAGCGTGTTCTGGGACGAGGACGCGTTTCTGGAGAAGGGCGGTCTGTACGACTGGGTGAAGCCGGAAGGCGAGGGCGGTTGTGCTGGGGGAGTGGAAGGTGTGGATTGGTAGACGGGAAGGAAGGAACTCTGCGTTGTGTTAACAGTACCCGAAATCATGCATGTCTGCTCACTATATGGACTCAAGGTGGGTAGGTACCTACCTTGCTTTCCTCGTGTAGATATCTCCGTGTATCAGCACAGAGCGTGGTACATGGTAGGTGATAAATTTACCTCAGTTTCACTCCAGTAACCAGCGGGTTGTCACACGTGTGAACATGATTACCCTGGCCCGAGCCCTGGCCAGTCCGAGAACGACTTGGGTCTTTCGCCTCCTGCTGATTGGTAGAGGCCCAGGAAGGGGCCAGCTCACATGGCGGCCTCCAGAAGGAGCGACCCCGCAGTCTCGAGTTCCATACACGTATAATCGGTGCATCCAGTCTGGTGTGAATTATGTGCATCCGGGATAAACAAAGGGTAACACCACGCGCCACACAGCGCGGACACGCCGGGATTGTCGACATAATTTTCAAGCTGGACTAGAGTCGGCTCGATGTGGACGCTCGTGATTGTTGCCGTCGGACGGCATTATTGTGGGCGGCAGAACAAAAGCAGCGGGAAGTGGTGATCCAACTCCTTAACGATAGCCGAGCGGACGGAAACGCCAGGGACAGCCACGGGAAGACAGTCCTGATATATGCTATCTGGTACGCGCTGGTCAGCATCGTCAAGCGCCGGCTTGCAGTTGAGGGTGTTGAACATGGGTTCGAAAGATCACATTGGAGTGGCGCCTCTCTTGCTTGCCGCGGCGCTCAAGCACCGAGGTGGAAGACATGTTGCGCAGAGGCTAGGGCCTGCGGCCGGGACACCTGTCGTGCCTGCGAGCCGAGTGGCAAGGAGAATACTTGCCGAGCTCTGGGCGTTGAATCGTGATCCGCCCTCTTGCATTGGAGGTCCCCGCGTATTGTGTAATGACCTGATAGCTAAGGTAACCTCCGAGTCTGCCGCAGTCGGACCTTGATGCACTAAATCCGCAAAACTGCCGGCCTCGAGGATATCCTCTAACGGATGTATCAGGTGCGACGTTCAAGCAATCATCATAGGCCCGCTGAGGTTCTGGCCACAGCATACTTCAATCTGCCCTAACCAGGAGGCTAACCCGTATGATGGTTCCCAACACCAGGAAGGGAGCCCATACGAAGTGGGCATCTTCTTTCTCGGGTATGTTTCCCGTCGGACTATCCTCTTAGCCTTATTGCGAGTTCAATTCACGATGCCGATCTGCCATCCAAATATTACACTGTTGGGCGCAGTTCAGCCTCAACTCTTAATGAAATCTGGAATACAGCGTGGGGCCTAGAAAAGGGTGAGTTATTTCGATCGAATTGAGAACTGGTACCAAGCACTGATACAGTACTTCGTCCCTGAAGGAGTTCCCGGGATAGCGACCAAATCTGACCAAGTTTTATAGTGCCCCTCTGTATTGTGTCAACCCTGGGCAGCCTCATCCGCGACGAGCCTGTTTCTATGAATGTGGGCTAGTATCTAAGAGACCCAGAGGCATTCAATGCCAAGGCCTGCGAGAAGGCCGAAAAAATACCTACGCCTGCTAAGGATAGAGCAGCCAGAACCCCAAGAACAATACGCGTGAGACCGATCGGACATGGGGGTTACTACCCATAAAGCGTAGGACAGAATAAGCAAGTCAGATAGGTACGTATCCGTTTGGACCTTCAATCTCGCGCGCAAGGAGTCCCCGAAAATAAGGCATGATACCTATTCATGGTTGCAGGGAACTTGCGAGAAATTGCAAGAGAACGCATATTCCTCAGTAATACCGGTATAAACACACCCCCCTATTGTAACTTTCAAGCGTTAATAATTCTGCTCCCAGGTCTTGAAGCTGAAGGCACTCGCCAGCTTCGGCTTCGCCCCTCCATGGCCAGACGTAGCTGCCCTTGACCGATCCAGAATCTCCTCCTGAGCAAACCCGTAATACACCCTGCTGGCCCTCACGCCCCCTCTGTCCGTGTCCGGGCTTCCTTCCACAAAACTGCTGCTGCAACTAGCAGGAACGGCCCCCGTGTCAGCTGCTCCCTCCCTGATGACTCCGTACCCCATGCGAGTCCTCAGCACCTCGTCCGGCACCTCTCCCCACTTGGAATCCGTGTTCCACGGCAGCGCCTGGAGACAGGGCGCTCGGGTGGCAGCGACAATGCTCGACACATGCACGTCGCGCACGTGGTAGTTGTTTTGGGCGAGGGCGGCGGTACCCAGCGCGGCGCAGATGATTGCCACCGAAATGGCGACGGCGTAGGCAATCCATAAATCGCGTTTCAGGTATACGTAGGCGTTGGCAATGCGCGTCTTGTTGCAGGGGTAGGCCAGGCTGGGATCGGCGGCCGTGGCCGTGACGTTGTCCCTGCCGCTGGGCACGTTGGGCTTGGCGGCCCAGGAGACAATGACAAACTGCGGGTTGGAGAACAGGGAGAGCGTGATGTTCTCGTAGAAGCGCTGCACCTCTTCTCTGAGGTTGGGAACGGCTAGGTACGTCATCTTGTCAATCAGGTTCGTCTGCGTCACGTCGCTTTCCGTGAGAGCGTACGGCAGGTATTTGATCCGGCCGTCGAGGTAGCGGCGCAGGCGAGAGCCAAGGGAGTGGTAGCCAGCCGTCACCCGGTACCGTTCCACGTCAAGAGGGCGGATCCAGTTTGATTCTGGCGTCGCCGTCGTATTGTCTCTTGTGCCGTCGTCCATGGTTTTGTCCACAAATGTCGTGTTGATGATGGGATGCAGGAACTCCCTGCTAACGACGGTCGTAACTTGGGAGGAAAAGGTATGGTTGAAATAGACATTGTAGTTAGTCAGGTAGTGGTCGCACCGGATAATCGACGCCTCAAATGCAGTGTCAAATCCGGGCTCGTTCCTGCTCGTTGGCGGCGGGCCTTCGCCAGTTGGGACAGCATGACCAATCCACAGAACTGGCTCCGTCCTAAAGGCGCCTAGGTTTCTGGGAAAGGGCGGCCCGTCGAGAGGAATACCTGCAGCCCCAGCGTCGATCTGAGGGCGAGCGTAATCGCCGATTGTAGTGCTTGCTATGTAGCCATAATCGCCGGTAGGCATCAAATCGCTGGCATTGAAAGGCACGCCATGATCCCTGCTCAGCTGGGCTTGGTCAAGATTGCGGCCCCTTGCTATCTCGGTGCACTTGTATCCGGGTGCCACAAACGATATGGTATAGCTGCAGTTCCAGCCGACACCGCACGTGTCGGCAGCAACATCAGGCCTGGCAACCACATCGCCGGCCAGAGCGCTACGGGTCGCCACCAAATCGAGTTGGGTGCTGCTGGAGTCCCAGTAGTCAAACCAGGTATCATTGAACGGAGTGAAGGTGGTCGGGGCATCCATGGTGGTATTCCACACGGAGAGGGAGAGTCCTGGGTAGCCGTTGATGAAGTCGGAATTCCTCCAGTTCTTGTCCTTTTCCGCTTCGAAGTTGAGCGTTCTGACGCCGCTGCATTGGCCTACTATGGTCTCTGTAAGAGGTGCAACGGTAAGCGAGCCCGGCGTCAAAATAACGGTTAGCGGGAACAGCCTAGTGGATGGATGGTAAGTGAGTTGCAACCATAAATCCAGAACCGTATCCATTGGGGAGCTGAAAGAGACGTGGTGCGAGCAAAAACCAAAAGAGTTGCACAAACCATGTAAGAACCGCTAGGGCCATGGCCACCTTTGCATTTCTGGCAAACTCCCAATTCAGCAGAGCCATGAATTCATTGACGGCAGCGAAGAGGCTGTCAATGGTCTTCAGCTGCAGTCTCTTTCTCCTCGCTGTCACCCAGATCTGTTGTCGGTAGGCAAAAATAACGGCCCCAACAAGGGAGGACTTGGCAATGTATGACAGAAGACCGCCTATCCGCATCATTTTGATCTGGTCGTCGGCGGGCCTGCCATCAAGGTGAGTGTAGAAGGCGTGGTGAGAACCGGCAAAGATGATGCCGAGGCAGACCATGGCGTACATGGGCCATGTATCGCGATATCTCCACCCCTCCAACCAGGCATACCGGGACTTCTCAACGGAGTCGGAGCGGCTGATTACACTCTCACATCTCTCTGGGTAGTGGAAAGGTGTCTCTGGGATGGTGTAGACGTAGTGTTGCGGGTGATAAGAGGCTTTGGAAGGGGCATCGCCAAACTGGGGACTGTTGTCCACGGCACTACTGCCGAACTGACCAGAGTCGATGGGACTGTATCCGGTAGACGGGACCTGAGGAGCATGACCAATGCCCAGCCCTATGTTGGGCCGAGCGCCTAGACTCGGATCGGCTGCATTTTGCGACGGGTTCAGTTGCCTATGCAGGGAAGAAGATCGCGATGAATCTGACGAGGCCGGGCTAATGTCGGCAGCTGCTGCAATTGGGTCCTGCCCGTCGACAGAGCGTCCTCGATCGAAATCCGGGGAGTAGTAAACCGCTCCTTCTCGCTCTGGCCCGGGCGAAGACTGCTGCTCCATGGCGGCCAGCAGTGACTTGAGTTCAAATCATGAGCAATATATTTGGGCTAACCCTGGCCTTGATTTGGTGGCCGACTCTTTGGATTTCAACGAATTTGAAAGCGGAAACCAGTGGAAGTCGTGGTGTGGGCAATCATGGCACGAGTGGAACTTGGAGTGGGAAGAGAGCCCGGAAGGTTGGACGGGCAATTGGCAGTAATTACTGGTCCCAGGTAAGACCAAGCAAGAAGTCAACGGTATTCTCTGCACGTCATGAGTCCAGATGTCAAGTTGGACGGATGCGGATAGGGACGGGGAAAGGGCGGTGGTTGATGCGACCCGAGTTTCGACCCCAACTCGGGTGTAACGAGCCACGACAGCGTTTTGTGGCACAATGTGTGCAAAGGCACAAATCACAGACGGTCTCCACGGCGCCGTGTGGCACAGTAGTGCAAAGCACAAATCAGAGACGGCCCTGCAGTGCGGAACATGACCAGGGGCCCTGCTAGGCTGCGCCAGCGGGAGAGTCTTGGTCGGCGGAGATAAGGTGCTGCGTTTGCACTTCCTTGCTAGGTTATCCGTATTAAGTAAAGGCAGGCATGGTGGAATGATTTGGCAGCCCGGAGCTCCGGCCGGGGGGGATGGGGGCTGAAAGTCGTGACCACTGACGGCGGAAAGAATTCGAATATGTACCTAGAGAGCTGCAGGATCCTGCAACCATGCAAAGAGTTTGAACCAACAGCAGCCCCAGACATCTCTCGTTTGCCATGGCTCCCGAGGACTTGCATCGTTGCATTTTCAACACAGCAGATGGCCAGGCCCAGCCCCGATATACTCGGGACCAGAACACACTGAGCCCCGGTGATGGTGGTGCGTAACCCACAAGGCTGTCAGCGAGAGGACTATGTGGCGGGAATGAAGCAGTGGGGAAAGACAAAAACTAGACAAAAGGAAGTTATGTGGAAGAAGAAATGTACTGTACAATAACGGTTCGAAAAAAGGGAAGGACGAAACGCGATTTGAACGCGTGACCTACCGGACTGCAGCCGGTTGCTCTACCCCTGAGCTATTCGTCCCGGAATGGACGAGTAAAATTACCCAGATAATTTCCTTATATTTTGGGGACATCACTCTCACCTTAAACAACAGTCTTTTCCCCCCAATAAATGCCTTTGGAGTCTGAGCTACTCGCTTGCAGCACACTGTGAACTACAACCATCACACATCACCCCCAAAGTCCTATAAGATACAGCTAGCTATAGCTTGTAAGCGGGAGACAGTTCTGGCAATAACTACTAGTAGCACAATTATATAATGCTAGACGGAGAGGGGTGTACTGTGTACCTTACTCTTTGTACTTGGTGTATAGATATCTCGACGAGAGGTTTGAGCTCGCTTCACTTGTGGACATCTTCATGCACGAAGTACCTTTTGTGTAGCATTCAGATCCTTCAAATCGGATTCTTCAAACGAGGAATCTCGACCGCCCAGCCCCCAAACACCCACAACATAGCGCGTCTCAGTTCTCCGAGTTACCGCTGAGCCTGCAGGAGGGGAAACCTCGCCACATTACTTATTTTCAAAACAATGGGACGGTACATGTATAGCCGCGGTTAGCCTGTAGCCCGCCGTGACACTTCTGTGGATTACAAGTCATCTTGGTTGGTACAAGTTTAATTGATCGAACGGGCGTACACCCCGTAACCCGTAAGTCAGTCCACAGACAGCAAATACTGCGTCAGCTAATCTCTGAGTGTTGAACAATGACTAAAATCGCGCAAAGTGAGATTATACAAACGATCATCAGTTATTATCTTCTACGGTTCACTATTGTCAAGCGGAATGCTCATGTTGCCCGTACGGGCGGAGACCTCCCCTTCTCCCTGCTAGGTACTAATATACCTGGACCATACTGAAACGGTGCTTCTACTATTAAGTATACCTCGATGGTTCACTATCAGCCTTCTGTAATCCTAAAATGCTCACATCTAGAGAGCGTAAATGGTCACCGCAATTCATTCATCAAAGACGTATCTTTGGCGTCAACTTCAAGCAGAAGTTACAGGTTCCTTCGTGCCGAGATGAGTTCCAGTCATATTGAAATTTGATGGAGTTGGTTACCTGGTGTGTGCCACATTCGGCTGGACAAGCAGGTGAGCCTAGTGTGGCCATGAGAAGTTCAAAGATTCCATTATGCCCATAGGCCCAAATGTGCGTGTATTACTGGACTATATACACCCCAAGAGCCGTCCGCCTACATGTATGCGCAGCATAGGACTTTACAGGCCGTTACGTCAGAAGAATTGCCTCTGGTGGTCCAAGGTAGCTCTCCTTGAATCCATCTCTGGTTGATAAAACGATCTTCTCAAGATAGATCTCAGGTGAATTCACGGCCCAGCGTAAACTGTGTTCTCCGGCTTCCAAGGCTCCAAATTGCACCTTTTTTGTCCAAACTTGATCAGCAACATGATCCATCCATTCGGGTGGAATATCGCCAGCGTGTGGATTGCTAATGTAGTCCCCAAGCACTCTGGTAAAATTCAGTGGTGCGTCATCTACCGTAAGCGAGAATCGCATCTTCAGCTGTGGATCGGTGTCGAGACCTGCGTTGATGTACACGGTTGCTTCTACAGCGTCGCTGTTTTCGAAGAGGTAGAAGTTATACTGAACCCAAGCTGAATCCGCCTGACCTTCCCGTGCCTCGTTGAATGGCCTGAGGGCAATCGACCCCGACTCTGTTCTTGTTCCGAGGTACGGAAATGTTTTGAAGGCGAGGCCTTTGTTGGCGCCGGTTTCCTGCGAACTCCCTTGGAAGTGCGGTGCTTCGATGGAAACATACCCTGCCGTTTCAGGGAACCCGGAGAATCCACACCTTACCACATGGTTGAAGACGGGAACTCGAATGAAGTCAAAGTAAGGGTATGCGGACGGTGTTGATGTAACACCAATCTTGACGGTATCGTTGAATCCGGCTGGCACATTCGCCCAGTTAATAGTTATGTTCAGCCGCTGGTCCATGTGGTTGCGGTCCAGTGTTCCGTCACCTGGCTTGACGGAAATCCAATCAAAGGGCGGATCTTGGATGGTAAAGTTGATGGGCTGCCGGATGTCGCCGCGCATAAACAAGTCGACGGTTCGGACTGCAGGGCCGTAGGGGCTCATTTGTGGCAAGACTGGGGCATAGGCGACAGTGGGCATGGACGCATCGACAGACTCGGCCCATCGGCCTTGCTGGATGGCATTGTCGGATCCTTCAGCCCAAATCCCCAGAGATCCCTGGGAGAACTGCATGTTCTGTCGTTGTTGAACGAAGGACAGGTTGGCGACGATATCTCGAGACGGACCTGCCCAGTTCTTGGGTTCCTGGCCAACAGCGTCGTATTTAGCTTGCGACATTATGTGCATCCACTTTCCATCGAGCAAGCTATCCCACGACTCTAGCAAATCATAGTCGTTCTCGAAATGTTCGAGAACCTGTTTTGCAATTTCATTTGCCGAATTCCGACGTTCAAGAGCGTATCGGTAATTCACCGCTATTCCAATGGCGACGGCGTAGAATGTCTTTGCAGAGACAATGGGGTAGTAGAGGAGCTGAAAAAACGCTGGCTTGAGATCGTCTGTCATGCTGTTATAGAGAGATTCTGTCCTTGTGGACAGTGCTTGCCATCGCTGAAGAATCCTCTCGGCCTCGTGATAGTTCACCGTGGAGAATGTTCCTGGGGTGATGTGTTCGAATCGCCGCATCCCCAGGAGATGGCTTTCTTCCAGCCATATTTCCGCAATGGCATCAGCAAACTCGTCGCCAAACTCCCGTGATGCATAGAGACGGAGGTACTGAGGCATGGTTTCAAATGATATGCTTGATACGTTCCAGGCCAGATCCATGGCAAAGGCAAGGGGAAGTTCCATGGGCTTGATGTCACCGACGTTGACAATCCAGATTTGGTTTGCACCTCGCAAGTGGGCATGAGACAACTCTTTGAGAACTTTGGCCTTCATCGATAGTTAGTTGAAGAAAAAGAATTCGGGGAAGGCATCGTTACCAAGTTGTTCGTATTTGCCCATTTGTACGACCTTGGCAACCCAACATACTCGAAGTGGAAGTAGACCTAAAAGAGGGCGAATAGAGTTAAACATGCCACGGTTCATTTTCCTATGAGATACCTGGTAGTTGTGGAAGGTAGGAGATAGAGACTTGCTTACCCCAACTCCACCTAGTCTAGACGCCTCGTCGCCTGTTGGGAGCCGATACAGATTCCCTTGATTATCATCCGGAAACAAAAGAGTGACATCGCTAGGAACATCGAGTCCGGCGTCATAATATGCGGTTACCTCCTTGTACAAGGCCCAAACCTCTGCTTCCGTTAGCCCCCTTGGATGAAAGTCGAGAACGTGAAAGCTGCAAACACGAGACCGACTTACGACTTACCGCGTCCTCCGTCCCGTGATACTTCTCGATGATTTCTCTCTGCGTTGCAAACACATCTCTCAAAGCCTCGATCGCATTGGGAGTATCGATCGCTGCATCTCCCAAGCCCCTCATGCCAATGGTAAAATAGGACTCATTGCGCCCAGCCCTAGCAACGCCTTCATCCATAAAGGCGGTGATGTTCTCCTTGTTGAGAGACCAATTCCATGGCCCAGATACAGTCTCGTTCCACTCATTTGTTGCCCTCTGCATCGGCTCGTGATGGGAAGTGGAGATGACGATGCCGTAATCATCAGCAAGCTGCTGATTCTTTGGGTCATCGGTGAAAAAGATATTCCCGGGCGGAGGCGTGAACGACTTCCACATTGCTGGCCAGAGATAGTTGGCCTTCAACCTCAGCAGTAGGTCAAAAACGTGCGCGTAGAACTCCGAGTCCAAGGGATGGTGCGTCGCATTATGGAGTCCAGACCACCATGTCGTTAGGGCCGGCTCTTCGTCGTTGATGAAGAGGCCACGGTACTTGACAGTCGGCTCGCCATGAACCGTCACTTTAGGCAGAGCGTATATGCTGGAGCGTTTCTTGGCTGGAACGTCGGCGAACCAGTGGTAACTTGAATCATGATTTTGGTTAGCATTGTTCATCAGGTATTCCGACACGCATGGAGACACAATTTACGGCGACTGGCCACACTGTTCTGCGACAGTGTGAATCCCAAAAATGGTCCCCCTCTTGTCACTCCCAGCGATGACCAAAGCCTTCCTCACCCCCGGCAGCGGGCCCTGAACTACCTCCGTTCTGAATGACTCCCATTTCCCCTTGATTTCTGATGAGTTGAAAATTCCTTGACGATCCAATGCCTGGATCAATGTCGAATTGATGGATCCAGCAATAATAGCAATGTCGATATCGAGCTCACCACGTAGCGTGTTGACGTCTAGGCGATGAACATCTCTTGCCCTGCTTGTGATTTCCGCTAGATCTTGAGATAAGCTGTCCACTGCAATGTGGACCCCCTTGAAGTCGTCCTCCGAGCATATAATCGGCGCACTTGTGATATCAATGGCCGCTGGTGCAGGCCTGAAAGAGACAATGGTCTCTTCCAGAAGGGCTACACATGGCCCCTGGAAGAGCAAAACGGCCAGGACCACAACAGGCAGATGCATTTCATGTGATGGTGTAGAACACAGAGTACAGTAGCCAGCATCTGCGTCATGGAAAGCTTGTGATTATCTAGAGCTGGATATGCGGGGCGAGATTGCAGTCTTTGGTAGATAGTATACCAATACTTGTAGGATTATTAGCGCTCGAATTGGACGGATCATGATGTATTCTTGTATGTACCATATTAGCCGTTTCGGCAAAATCAGCACAACCACTTAAAATCCAAGCGTGCAATAGATTTTCCCCCAATGGCATAACGTTGCATTTTCAATAGCTAGCAACATTGTACTCGAGTCCTTTCAGGCAACTATACTATACAATACCCCCTACCTATGCTATACTGTAACGAATCTCGGTCCCCTACCACTGAAAGGGACTTCTCAGACTGAAGGTTGACTTGAACGGGGTGAGGTTCGGTAGAGCCAAAGGGTCTACAATAAGTGCACAAGCAAGTGTTCACACAGTAGTAAAGACAACTGCTTGTATTGCTTACTGGAGAACCTTCAGGAGGTCCAACGGAAGAGACTATCTATCTAATATACTAATGATTGTCCTTGAGGATCACTCCCTTCCCCGTGATCCTTCCTTGTAATGCTCACCAGGCTCACCGTGAGCCTTGCATTGTTGTTGGTGATCCCTTATACCTGGATCACTACGCCAAGCGTGATCCTTTTCCTATTGGTTACTTAAACGATTGGTCGTCGCGGCTTCCCGCGCTGCTACTGCGCCCACGCCC